GATAGGTACGTAAAAAAACAAAACTAAAATGTTCATCCCTATTTACGGGTCAATAGGAATATTTATTTGAAAATTAATATGTAAAAAATAAATTTCGAACTGAATTTATTTAAAATGTCAACATATTATATTCATATATTATTGAGCTTCCTATAATAATAAGCTAAAGAGTACGTAACAGTGATGGTATTTGTTGTCTCCATCTTACCAGTGCGTAATAATATAGCAAATTTACGCTCAGCAGAACACTTGTAGCTCTTTTAGTTTAAAAGTTTCAGTGAATTGACCTATTATGAAACTTGATGGTAAGAACATTATCTGTGTTTGTAAGTTGGTTTTTTTACGATAGTTCAATTTTTTAGTGAGTTATGAGCATTTTTAATGTACTGTATATTATATGCTCATAACTCACTTAAAAATTGAATTATCGTAAAAAACCAACGTACAAACACAGTTAATGTTCTTACCATCAAGTTTCATAATAGGTCGATTCACTGAAACTTTTAAACTAAAAGAGCTACAAGTGTTCTGCTGAGCGTAAATTTGCTATATTATTACGCACTGGTGAGACGGAGACAACAAAATATACCACTGTTACGTACTCTTAAGGTCTAGCTATTATACTGATACAGTGACCATACACGTCTTTATTATKACAAGATTTGTAATATTCTATAATCTTTACCTATATATAACWCATTGTAGTTATTAATGAAATTTTGAGATATTGATGAGTTCATTTCCGCGAAATGTCTTGCATTTTATATTACATTCTGGCGTATTACAATCTTAACTGGGTTACACCGAAACAGAGATAGGTACACCAAAAATGTATATAACSCAGTATTTTATTTGAATTTACCATTTTTTCCCGGACGAATTCAGGTTATACAACTATAATATTATAAACAACCTGTTGGTACATTGCAGTATACCTACTCAATCCACCATACAAGGTTACATAGATTAAGTAGAAACGAAGAACTTTGAAACTTAGTAGTTAGAAATAATACACTTAGTAAACGCACCTTCCAGTGTCCGCAATCTACCACAGATGCAGGGCCCCACAAGGGGGGGGGGGCTTGGTCAGAAGGACCCATGGTACTGTACTGTACAACCATGTAGGTATTCTGTAAAAATTAAATCCTTGAAATAAAATATTACATTTTCTATATCATTTTGACGATGATGTTTAAGATATTATTGTTATGTAATTGCGTGGTGTAAAGTGTAGCTTTGATAGTACCTATATAATATAAAGTAAAACAATTTGCCACAATTGGGCATTTATAATAAGAAAAACGAAGTATGAGATTGCATCGGATTATGCAAAATTATCATTGGACGACATTGAAGAAACTAATAAAACAACAATCAAACTTSAACAAATGCGGACGACGGATGAAAGATTGAAAGAACTTTTTGCCACTGGATCAGCTACCTAGTATTAATATAAAATAAATTATTGTCGTAACCATAGAAGCGTACATAGACACTTCCAATAGATGTGTGGGGCATATTATGATGAGGATAAGTATTATACATAAAATAATATATTTACGTATATATYTACATATAACGTATAATGGTATAATAATAAAATAAACTGTTTTATAAAAATATTTTTTCTTTTTATATGTAGTTAAAAATAGTCATAATCATAGATCAAACCCCGCCATTCTACTCGTGTGCACATCATCACTGATCGGTCTGATCGTTATTATAGGCGTACCTAAGATAACTATMATTTGTTAATTTTATAGAGACAAAATAGCAGGTTGCAGGTACCCATATGAATATATGAATATGATTAGGACAGCTAGGTGCTATATTTCATGTGTTTGCAATTTGGTGCTATAATAGGTAGTAGGTWGTATTAATATCTACTATAATATATCCACATCACGAATCACGATTCACATAAGATATGTACTTATTATTCATTATTAAACATTGAAAATGTTTTATGTGAGAATGYGACTGCCTACATAATATATATTTGATATGTGTATATCAATTTAATAGGCAGAGGCCCATGGTCCATGACAAATTTCCAATTGATATAATGGACGTTGAACTGAACTTGTGTGTTATTCAATATAGGTAAGGCATATTATACTTYTCAATTTCTCATTCATTCATGTATAATGGTAAACGAGTTTGTATTATTATAGTATTATACTTAACAAACGTCTAACAAGGTTTCTACAGGTACTGCATTCTGTAATACATTATGTATCTATTTAATAACTAATAAGACTGTTTTATTTGTATACTTATAGTCAATACAATACACTACACCATTATGCTTACTAAATAAATGTCTTACAAATGGACTTTAAAAAATATAACCAGCTGCAGGGACATGCCGGATAATTTTTGTACAAAGCTTAGTAAGCCGAGCATTTTAAAACTGAACAATGAGAGATATTTAAGAATAGCTGGTAAGTTATTATAGATAGGTAGGTATATATACAAGGGCTGTAACCTGTAACACGATTGCGCCCGTTTTACCTTTTTATCTAGGTGTGCGCTCCATGAAATATAGATCTTGCCCTTCTAACAGTTTAAAAATTTTCAGTACATTTTTTAAAAACACAATCAGAGCGGAAAATTCAAATATTATTATTAATATYAGAACTAAAATTGAATTCGTAG